CATCCTAAATCTCCAACCAGTGGTAGCCTATACCTGCTGGCATACAGGGAGGTACAAATTAAATGCCCCAATCCCTTCGGACCTTCCTGTTGTGGAAGATATGCCCCACCCTCCCCCAAAGGGAACATGCCTGATTAGTCATAACCCCTAAACTAATCACTCCCTCTGTGCCTCCCTCTAACATTCCCACCTTCTTTGTTCTTAAGGACATTTACTAAATAGGCAAGGGGGAAAGCAGAGCCAGGTTTCCTTGGCGGGCAACTGCATTTGGTTGCTATGAGAGCTGTATACACAACACAGCTGTCATTGATATTATAGATCTAATGGGAGCCAAGGGTCTCAAATCTCTAAGGAGAAAAACATAATTCAGAGCTTTGGCAATGGTATCCATGTCTATAAATAAATGTGAGAGCAGAGAAGTGAATTTGAGAATATAAGAATACAATAGAGTTAGACCTGAGAATAAAATTACATCACTCTGGGCCTGGACCTGATGTTTTTTATGCCAGCAAAACTCCCAGTTAAGTCTAATTTCAGGAGACCTTTACCTGAGATTCAGGTATAATGCCAGGACCCAAACACACACGGGACCTGACTCACAGAGCTTCCTTTATGATAGGGAAAGTTAAAGGTAGTCCATTTGCCTCTTATCACGTTTTCTTTCCCTCTTTTTTATCTCCTTTGTTCGAAACAAAAAGGAGGAGGAGAAAAGGGAGGACATGAATGAGGGATAGACTCAGGACTAGAACTTGGGTTTTCCTGGCTCCACTGCCAGAGTTCTAGGGGCAGCACCATGCTGCTTTCATAAACGGGTAAGCACCTCCTGACCACTCAAAAACATCAGGAATGGAAAGCAAGAAAAGCTGCTGGGCATGGTGGCTCGTGTCTGTAATCCCAACACTTCGGGAGGCCAAGGCAGGAGGGTTGCCTGAGGCAAGCAGTTTGAGACCAGCCTGGGCAACAAAGTGAGAGCCCTGTCGCTAGAAAAACATTAAAAAATTATCTAGGCATGGTGGCATGTGCCTGTAGTCCCATCTACTCAGGAGGCTGAGGCTGGAGGATGGCTTGAGGCGAGCGAGCCAGGGATGTCAAAGCTGCAGTGAGCTATGATCACACCACTGTACCCTGGGTGACAGAACAAGACCCTGTCTCTATAAATAAAAAAAAGAAGAAGAAAGAAAAATGAAAGTTTATGTGTAGGAAGATTATGTATAATCAGGAAACACTCCCTGAACAGGAACAAGTGTAGTCTGGAAGTAGAATAGAATGATGCAACCATCGTATATAAGCAGGGACACCTGCAAAAACACACACACACACACACACACTAGCCACGAGGTGAGTCCCCACTGAATGCTAATTTTAGCTATGCAAGGAAGCTCATTATTTTGAGATCCCAATGTGTGTTATTTTCTAGACTCACCCCTTCAAAATATAATTAGTCATGGAAATACTGGATAGAAGAGGGTGATTTCCCCGGCAAAGGTACCACCCTCAAGCCTGAATACCTGCGGCCCTAAATAAGGACGGACATTCCTGTTTTTGCACCCAAAAGTTGCCTTCTGGCCTACCACGCCCCCTGTCCTCTACCCATATAAACCCCAAACCCTAAGCTGGGAGAGAAGAGAAGGAACATCAGGAGAAGTTTGGCTGGGGATGATCAGAGAATCAGCAGCGAGACAGTCAAACTCCAAGGAAAGATCATCTTCCCCCTCCATCTCCTGTCCAGCTCCCCATCCATTCCACTGACAGCCATCTCCACCACTGAATAAAACCCCCACATTCATCCTTCAAGTTCGTGTGTGACCCAATTTTTCGGGATGGCTGGACAAGAGCTCAGGATACAGAAAGCTGTCATGCTGGTCCCCTGCCCTTGCAAAAAGGCAGAAGGCCCACTGACCTGGTTAACCCTTAAGCCATCCACGAAGGGCAAGACTAAAAGAGCACACTGTAACATGCACCCACCTGGGCTTTGGGAGTCGCAGACACCCACCCCTAGACACTGCCATGGGGCCAGAGCCCCGAAGCAGTCACTCCGGTTCCTGCACCTACCGTCTGCATGATCCCCCCGCCCCATAAAAGGGGTTTGAACTCACCAAACAGAGCCGCACTCCTGTCACACATCTTGAGAAGGGGTGCAAGGGAATTCTCCCGTTTCAATTCTATCATACTTCCTAACACCGGCTCACAGGCCAGTGCACAAGAATGCCTTCCCTTCTTAGAGCCCCTGCTGTGGCACTGAGACTTGCTCGACAGGAAGTAAAGGGTGGGGATGCTTTTTCATATATTATGAGGTGCTCAATGTCAGAGGAACCTTCTAAGTAGAGAACTCCTAAAAACAATGGATAAAATATTAAAACCTCCTTTAAGACAAAGAGCTAAGCTGATAGGAATGTCAGAGAAATTCTTGGACACCAGAAATGGTAAGAAACTACTAGTCTATTCAGAGGGGAACAGGACCATCAGAAATAGAGTTTGCCCTGGGTGTCTATGTTTAGCTCTCATGATCTAGGGGTCCACAATATTTTTCTGTAAAGATACAATTTTAAAGATAATATTTTGGGCTTTGTGGGCCACATATGATTTGTCACTTACTTCATTGTTGTTGTTTCTTAGCAACAATTTAAAAATGTAAAAGCCATTCTTAGCTGAAAGGCCACACAAAAACAGGCCACAAGACGGGCATATGCTGCTCCTATAGGAGCAGCTCAGAGACAAAGCTCAGGCTCAGAATCAGAGACTCCAGCACGAAGCCAGTACCCAAAACAGTTGACACCCTTAGTGGGTAAACTAGAAAAAATACATATGCATACCAGAAGGAATTGATGTAAGTGTTCACCAGGGTTAGCCTTGGTTCTAGGTAAAAAGGGAAAAAAGATAAAGTCTCCCCCAACACCCCGAGATGCCTTAACCACAGACAAGCCTTCTCATGGGCCATGTATCAGAATCCAAGTACTCGTATGACCTAAAATCCCAAAGTACAAATTTAAAGTTATTGCAAACTGATAGTCACACTCAGTGTTTAGTAGAAATGAATACATATATCCTCACTAGAGGAATACTCCTTAAACCAGGTCTCAAAGGAATTCTCACAAATCAAGTTCGAAGGAATATAAACTCACCATCAAAAGCTCAAAATACATAAGGAAACAAGTCACAGTGAGGAAGAGGGTGCAGAAAGATTGGTGATATGAGAAAAAATTGGTACAAGATATAGGGAAAGTGTTCTAAGGAACCCTACAGGTGATTCTAACGCACCTTGAAGGTGTTACTGTTTTTAGAGACAGCGTCTCAGTCTTTTTCCCATGCTGGAGTGCAGTGGCACGATTATAGATCACCGCAGCCTCAAACTCCTGGGCTCAGGTGATCCTCCTGCCTTAGCCTCCCAAGTAGCTGGGACTATAGAACCATACCACAATGCCCAACTAATTTTTAATTTAATTTTTTTTTTTTTTTTTAAGAAACAGGGTCTCACTGTACAGGCTGGTGTCAAACTCCTGGCCTCAAGCAATCCTCCCACCTCAGCCTCCCAAAGTGCTGGGTTTATAGGCATGAGCTACCATAGCCTCACCCTAAAATTTGAAAACCACCATTCCAGTCACTTCAGAGCTCAATAGCACAACTACTAAAATCAGAGTAGGAAAGCAGGGACAAGTGAAATCGTTTATTTGGTTGGGCTACTGTGATCTTATGGTAATGAACTTGGAGGAGACTAAATTTCACCTATAAAATGTTTGATGGCTTGAGACTAGAGAAGAAATAATCAAGCTTGTCCTTATACTTTACCCACAGGGTCCCATAGGAACCAACCCTGACCTCTATCTCCCACTCACCTCTATCTGGACACTCTCCACCTGACTCCTGGGGCTGCAGCCACACCTAGAAGGAGCTCAGGGAACATCGTTAAACTAGTAACTGAATGGATGCTTGAGGTTCAACCTTTTAGCCCAAAACACCAAGTCCAGACTGGCATATTAATGGAAAGAATTGACTGCTGAGGACTTGCTGCTACTGACTCTGAAGAGTAACAGTGACACTAAAATAAATGCATAGTGCTTATCATCACTGCTGTCATATTAGCATGTGTAATCATAGTGAACATTTGTGTGCTTACTATGCAGCAGGCACTGGGCAAGTGCTTTGCACGCATCATATCATTTGGCCCTTAACATAACCCTTTGAAGAAAGTACTATTAGTATCCCATCTTACAAATTCTGATCATGAAGCTTAGGAAGTAACTTTCCCAAATCACACAGCCAGTAAGTGGCAAAACTGCTCATTAACCCAAGTTTTCTGTCTCCTAAAAGCTGCTCTTCACCACCATAATGTATTATTATCCCTCATCTGAAAAAACAAGCTGACAGGTTTCCGTCTTTATCTCTGTAAAATAAGGTGAAAGATATTTAAATTTAAATTTAAATTAAAAAAAAAAAAAAGTCTGGTGTGGTGGCTCATGCCTGTAATCCTGCACTTTGGGAGGCCCAGACAGGAGGATTGCTTGCAGCCAGGAGTTTGAGACCAGCCTAACCAACATAGCAAGACCCTGTCTCTACAAAAATAATAATAAAATAAAATAGCTGGTGTGATGGCATGCACCTGCAGTCCCAGCTACTCAGGAGGATCACTTAAGCCCTAGAGTTTGAGGATACAGGAAGCCATGATCACACCACTGCACTCTAGCCTGAGCCCAGAGCAAGAATCCAAAAAAAACCCACAACAACAACGACAAAGCACCTTTGCAGTAGAGATATGTAACAAACACTATCTCAGCCAGATTGTCAAAGTTACCGTCAACAATGATACATACATAAGTATGTAGCCTTGATATGATGTGATAAGAATGTTGCTGGGGTTTTCCTCCCAAAAACCCATACCGTAATCCTGGAAGAACCATGATGAAAACACCAGACAACTCCACACTGAGGAACATTCTACAAAATACATGACCAGTATTCCTCAAAATCTGCTAAGGTCATCAAAAACAAGACAAGTCGGCGGTGGACCGTGGGCAGCCAGGGTTGGTGAAGGATCCCAAGATGGCTGGGCGAAAACTTGCTCTAAAAACCATTGACTGGGTAGCTTTTGTGGAGATCATACCCCAGAACCAAAAGGCCATTGCCAGTTCCCTGAAGTCCTGGAATGAGACCCTCACCTCCAGGTTGGCTGCTTTACCTGAGAATCCACCAGCTATCGACTGGGCTTACTACAAGGCCAATGTGGCCAAGGCCAGCTTGGTGGATGACTTTGAGAAGAAGTTTAATGCCCTGAAGATTCCTATGCCAGAAGATAAATATACTGCCCAGGTGGATGCCGAAGAAAAAGAAGATGTAAAATCTTGTGCTGAGTGGGTGTCTCTCTCAAAGGCCAGGATTGTAGAATATGAGAAACAGATAGAGAAGATAAAGAACTTAATTCCATTTGATCAGATGACCATTGAGGACTTGAACGAAGCTTTCCCAGAAACCAAATTAGACAAGAAAAAGTATCCCTATTGGCCTCACCAACCAATCGAGAATTTATAAAATTGAGTCCAGGAGGAAGCTCTGGCCCTTGTATTACACATTCTGGACATTAAAAATAATAATTACACACACACACACAAAAAAAACCAAGACAAGTCACAGAAACTGTCAGAGACCAGAGGACCCCAATAAGACAAGGTCATTAAACGTAATGTGATATCCTCAGTGAAATCCTGGAACAGAAAAAGGACATTGGGGAGCAGTTACAATGATGGTGAAATCTGAGTAAACTCTGGAGTTTAGTTGATGGTAATGTACCAATGTTGATTCCTTAGTTAGGACAAATGTACCACGGTAATGTCAGGTGTTAGCAATAGGAAAAACTGAGTGATGGAAATGTAGGAACTCTCTGTACTGTCTTTGTAAGTTTTCTGTAAATTTAGAACCATTCTAACAGGAGTTTTTTTAAGGGAGATATTATTATCAAATATAAGAACCTATTGGATTATTAGAAGCAAAGAATTCATTTCTGATGACACTGTGGAGTGTCCTCCCTTGGAAATTCTAGGAACAAAAGAGAAAGCTCAGTATCCTGAAGAATTTAAATGTTAGTCTTCTTGAAACATAGCACTGAACCAAATTATTTCTTGACATCAATTCTATTTTAAGACTATACATTTGTGATTTTTATTAATTGTTACAATGATTCTTCAACACTGAGTAATTGGAAAATATGCCAAATGAAAAGCTAATCTTTTGTAACTACATGTCAGAGTTATCACAAAAAATAATGAGTAGGTGTCTCAGCTACGGCACGTAATTACATTAAACACTGGCTGCCTGAAGAACCAAATGTTACAGAACACTTGCTGTTTGCGTTGGTATTTATGTAGTTGAGCTGTTTCTCCCAGTAGGGGGCCCTGTTGACCATCAAATGGAAAAGATGCCCTGGCATTAGGGAATAGAGTTGCTTGGATTCTACTTTGATTAGCATTTGTAGGGGTAACTTTGAGAAAGAAAAACCTTTCACAAATCTTCTCCAGTAATACTTGCACAGTTAGAAAGGAAGATTAGACAACACCAACTAATGTGGTTGGGTAGAGGATGTTTCAGGGAAGAAAGAAGGTATATTGGACCACACCAGAAAACAGAGACCTTCAGAATGTTCTTAGGCCTAGATATTGCTGAAACCATATATGCTCAAATGAAAGGCAGGTTAGAAGTGATAAAACTAGAAATGCCATATCCCACTTTCAGGATATGTGTTCCTGAAAAGTTATATTGGAGAAATGTCCTTCTTATATACATTTTGTAATTGAGATAAGGTCTTGCTTTGTTGTTCAGGCTGGTCTTGAACTCCTGGCCTCAAGCAATCCTACCTTGGCCTGCCAAAGCACTGGGATTACGGGTGTGGTCCATCATACCTGGCCAAAGAAATATTCTTGAAATATCACCTATATGCTCATCGACTGACCACAAATGCCCTGTTCCACATAGCATTTTACAAGATAGCTCATGCATTTAATTCTTTATCTAAATGCAGGAGCAAGAGCAGCCTCTACACACACACACACACACACACACACACACACACGCACGCACACTCTCTGACCCAATTAAAAATTTTTAATGATCTCTCATTTCTATAAGTTCAAGTACAGTAAAGAATTCTTAATTGGTTTCGAAGTCCTGCTCTTCCCGGCCTCTGACATCTCCAGAATTATCATAAACCACTTTCTCTTTCACTCTGTGTGTTCCAGCCCCACTGGCTTTAACATCTTCTAATTCTAACATGCAGAGCACCTTCCACCACAGGGCCTTTGCACAGGTTTTCCACGCAGCCTTATTGGTCTTATCCTATTCATCTCCTTCTAGTTAATGCCAATTCATTCTTTGGATCTCAGCTCAAGAGCTTTACCTTGGAGAAAACTTCTCTCATCCCTGGGTTAAATATCCCAGTTAAATGTTTATACAGCACCCTGTACTTGGCCATTACAGCTCTAATGACAGGTTTACTCCATGTACTAAACAATGTTTAGCATTGATAATTTGCTTATGTGGTTGTCAGATTAATACCAGTTCTCCAACCTAGATTGCAAATTACTTGAGATTAGGATCCATATTTTTATTCTCCATGTATCCCAGTACCTAGCATAGGACCTGGCTTAGCATAGATTTTCAACATGTATTTGTTGAATAAATGATTGAAAGAATGACACATTCTCAGGAAAAACAACACTTGGATTTCAGAATTTACTATTTCCAATGGGGAAAAAAAAATTCTGCTGACTTCAGAAGGAGTAAAGCCAGAAAGACAAGCAATAAAAGATGGTATCTTTGCCCAGAATGTGTAGGTTCTCTGACATTTACTGTCTTACCAAAGCCCATCCTGTTTTCTGAAATGCTGAGTCAAGTTATTTGGAGAAATTCTTTCGGTGTAAAAAAAAACCTCTTTTTTGTTTGTTTGTTTCTATAAGCCAGAGAACACCAAATATTGCCAGTAAAGCACCGGAAGCTAGGGAGAGGCATGGAACAAATTCTCCCTCAGGACCCTCAGAAGGAACCTACCTTGCTGGCACCTTAATCTCCTCTGACTTCTAGACTCCAGAACGATGAGCCAATAAATCTCTGTCATTTAAGCTAAAAAATATTTTAATGTGATAAAATATAAATATAAATAGAATATATACAATGTATTTTAAAAGGATCAAAGCAATGACAAGATAGGAAGGAAATACCAGACCTGCCATGAAGAGAAGTCAAGGTCCCAGAAGCACAAATTAAGACAGAAGTTTCTTTTCCTCTGAGAGTAGTTATCCACCCTAAAAATACTGGATTTTCATTTTAGTGGCCTCCTGGCAATGGAAGAAAAAATCAACTCCCAGAAACCACATAAAATTGAAAGCCTAATAAGAGATTCACCCCTTAAATAATCTGTACTTTAAAGATCCCCCCACATAGACCAGTCCTAGCACAGACCACAACCTCAGTTAAACTCTCCTGAGTATCCTGTATTTTCCAGGTAATTTCAAGCCTTAAATTTAGTTTAAAGTTGTCTTAAACTGGTAGTGCTTCTAGATACCTTGCAGAATCAAATATAAATTATTTTCGGGGGAACAAAAAGCCA